TTCCTGCATATGTGTATTTGTGCAGTTCAATGTGAGGGAACAAAACATGAGTCTGTGAGGGATGTTGCTGATTTACTATCCAAACGTCTGCAGTTAGACTATTCATAACAAACTTTAGCACCATTGTTTTATCATTATTATTATTATTATTATTATTATTCTAATAATAATGCATTTCTGGATTATATAATATGGTTAAAAACTACAAAACAATTCAATAAGGTTGTGCAATTGTAGCAGTTTCATTGTAAACAAGACAGTTACCGTAATGTCTAGTGTACATTATTTCTATCTTGTAAAGCAATATTAAACGTGACGCTCGCATATCCACCGGCAAGGCTAGCAGCCGTGACAGCAGCTCACGCCGCGGTTATCGCTGCTGATGAATGCCCCCCCCACACCTCCCCGCCTCTTTGGGGGTGTGTATCTTGGTCAGAGTTCATGGGCTCCGCATAACGCTTTTGTTGCTCGCTTGTCCCGACAGCCATTTATGCTCCAGTAAATCAGGCTGGCCCTGCGCATGCAGAGCCCTCTCCAACAGGAACGCATCCTTCTGTTGGCATTTCCACTTCATAGGCGGGGGATAATGAGCCAGAGATAGCCCATCTGGCCACTGCGCTGCGTTAGGGAGGCTTTTCGAAGGGGGGGCGGGCTGTGAGGGGCGGGGATGGCGGCGGCGCTGAGGCGTGCCGGAGGTCATGGTGCGTGGCAGCCGTGAATGATCGTAGCGTGAGCTGTGAGCGACAGTGTGGGATGAGGGCGTTTATGTGCCTTTATTATTGTAATCACCTTTATGACTCGCATGGCGGGACCCCCTTGCTCCTGCCGGCTGGGTCCTCCTCACATTGGCCCGTTTTTTGGCCCGGCATGTTCTGAGGCCCGATTGTGAGCCCAGATGCCTGCTTTGCTCCTGCTTTGGTGGCCTACAAACTAAATTTGTACATAAATAATGAAAGTTATTCGTTTTTTTTCCTGCCGCGCTGAATAAATTTTGCAAATTACTTTAAGGCAATAACTCCTTTTTAAAAAAAACAATAGCGATTTGTTTTTTCCAAGGGCGTGCTACACTTCAAATTAAAGCAGAGATATTTAAGTGCAGTCATCCGTGTTTTCTAGATCAAACGTAACATGAGAGCGGAATGATCTGCTTCATTTTTCATGTCTCCACCGATCCTGTGTTCCAGTGAGCGTGTCAGAGTCACGCCAGGGGAATGGTCACCCGTGACTTTTCTATGTGCATTGTATAGTTACTACTGAATATTCTGGAAAAGGATTTGAATTTATCAGTGGACTGCTGGGTTGCTGGGTTTTGTGCTGAGGAATGTTAATTCGGACTTGAATTTCCGCACTTTGAGAGGATCTGCTTGCATTTAACGTTGTATTACACACGGTTACGCCATTCGTCCCGCTAGAAGTAGAACAACCTGGCCTGTTAAATATCTGTAGATGTTCGCTCCCGTGGCTGTGGCGTTTAGGTGCATGATATGCCAGGCAGGATAAAAGCAGCAGACATATTCCAAACACTCTCCAAATGAAACCAATGAAAACGCACTCTGGAATTTTCTGAAAGACAAAACGAGAAGGAATGGTGGAGTGAGGAGGCAATGAAATGGAGCAACCAGCTAGACAGTGAATGCCGGGCCATGGATCATTGCTGAATGTGGAATGGGGGATTGTGGGTAAAGAGATGAGGGGGGGCTGTTGCCTAGCCACGCATCTGGGTGCCGGGCGGCCCTTCTCGCGGACCGCCGTCCGCCTGCCAAGCGGAGCAGCTGGGCTGGCCCTGCAGTGCCGTAATGTGCTGGGTGCTCAGACAATCAGGATCTGGCCAAAGGGTGCTTCTGCGACGCTGCTCAAGGAGGGGGGAGACTGGCCAGCAGGAAGCAGTGCTTGGCTCCTGTCCTGCCAGAGCCTGGCCATTTTAATAAGCTAGTTATGAAAATTCTATTTATTTGCAATTTGAATAGTCTAATTAGAACCCTTAATTTCTTTCTGAATGATGATGAAGGTTAATAGATGATCCCCAGAGTCTCTTACTTCTTACATTCATTTGAAGTCATAAACGGGATAACAGTTCTGCAGATAATTAACTCTATTGAGTGTCCTTTTCATTTTTCCTGTCTTGAATGTTATCTCAGGAGCAAATGAACATTTCAGGGGTGTCTGAAGATTAATGAGATTAATGCCAAAGTTAAAAACCTATGTAGTATATAGATGAAAAGAAGCATGTGTATTCGTCTGTTAATGTACGATACAGATCAAGGGAAGAAGCTCTCTGTTGCCGCATCTACACCTTCATCACACATCATGACAGTCTGGTCCATATGGCCACATGAGCCTTTTACACTTTGCTGGAAAATCGCGGGAAAACCAACAGCATGTTTTAGACTGTAATTGCTTGTATTATTTCTCCTCAAATTACAGGCCCTGTAGTAAAATGAGCGGGTATTCTGCTCTGAATGCACGATATTTATTCTGAAGTAATCATTGTTATTTATATAAATATCACATTAAGCAGAAATGAAATATAATCTAAATGACTGGATATGCACAGGATATGTTCTGATCTATGCTCCAATACTCTCATTGGGAAAATCCACATACACATAACATTAATTGATTATTTTTTAAAAATGGCATAGATTTCAGGAATTTCTTTACAGGAGAAAAAATACTTTTGTTTCTATTGATGAAAGATCAGTGAGCTGTGATCAGGTTTCAGATCAACTCCTTAGTCCGTCTGCTGGGCTTTCGGATCAGCACCTTGGCCACTGATCCCCATCTCCCAGGGTTTCAGATCAGCACCTTGGCCACCGATCCCCGTCTGCCAGGCTTTTGGGTCAGCTCCTTGGCCACCAACCTGTCTGCTGGCCTTTCGGATCAGTACCTCATTCACTGATGCCCATCTGCAGGCCTTTCTGATCAGCACCTTGGCCACCGATCTCTGTCTGCCAGGGTTTTGGCTCAGCTCCTCAGTCACCCTGACCTGTCTCCCGGCCTTTCGGATAAGCTTCTCGGCTACCAAAACCCGTTTGTGACATTATCGCACCAGCTTCTCGGCTCACCCATTTTCCGGCCTTTCGGATCAGCACCTCATTCACTGACGCCCGTCTGCCGGGCTTTGGACTGTAGTCTGTCTGCAGACCTTTTGGATCAGCTCCTCGGCCACCGAGACCTGTCTGTCTGCCTTTTGGATCAATTCCTCGGCCACTCAGACCCGTATGTTTGGTTCCGGTCAGCATCCCGGCCACTGGCACTTGTCTGTCAGGCTTTTGGATCAGCTCCACTGACGTCCATCCGTCAGGCTTTCGGATCAGCTCCTTTGCCTCCGATGCCTGTCTGCCGGCCTTTTGGATCAGCTCCTCCGTCACCGCGACTTGTCTGCCGGCCTTTCGGATCAGCTCCTCCGTCACCGCGACTTGTCTGCCGGCCTTTCGGATCAGCTCCTTGGTCACTGACCCCCGTCCATCGGGCTTTCAGATCCTTGCCCAGCGACATGCATCCTGCTACAGTGGGTTCTTCCCATGCTTTTGTTTTTCTACCATAACAGGGCCAGCAGTTCTCTGATGTTTTTCATTTTTTTCTGATTCACAAATAACTGTATGCTGTGTTCTTATGGATGAAGATGGAATTCATGTAGACATTTTATATATAGTACCCTGTTTCAGAAAAAGTTGGGGCGCTGTGTAAAATGTAAATAAAAAAGAGTGCAATGATTTGAAAATCATGTAAACCCATAATTAGTTGAAAATAGACCACACATATCAAATATCAAATGTTGAAACAAATTTAATTGTTTTAGGACAAACATATGCTCAATTTGAATTTGATTAGATCGGTTTGTATGAATTGTAAATCATTGCATTCTGTTTTATTTACATTTTAGCACAACGTCCCAACTTTTTTGGAAATGGAGTTGTAATTATGGTTTAACATACAGAATCTTTGAGGAAGCCTTTTGAAGTACCCAGCATAGGATACATTGTGATATGCCAGTGCAATTGTTAGGTACTACTGTATATACTTTTCTTTTACTCTCAGTATTTGTGTGTGTATGTATATATACATCTATAATTATATATAATGTCACTTTTCCACTTCCTCTCCTTAAGTGTCAGGCCATTTTTATTTTTACATTTAATGTAAGAGACCTTTTTTTGTACAAATCACAGAGATTTCACAGGAGATGCCGAGTGAGCAATGGTGCTGCGTATCTGTAGAGATGTATAACTCACACGGTTTCTGGTGTCGCGCTATTCCAGCGTTTCCAAAAGAACTTAACCATGAGGGCCCATCGCTAACTTACGTTATCTAGCTGAAAAGTAGGCTGTGTAAGTGTAAAAGAATGAATATTCATTACGAAGAATAATGCCGAAACCAAAGAGACTTCAGGTGCTATACTGAGGTAAGATGCAGCCTTTTAGTGAAAGATTTCGAATGGAAGAGGTTATCACTGTTTTTTTCAATTTCTGCATTAATGGAATAAAAATACTCTCTAGACAAATTGCCAGGTGTTGCAAAATAGCTTTAACTCTTTTATAAAATAGGCATTATCTTTTTTTTCTCCACCATACTTTACTTATATCCTGTCTAGCTGATTCGCTGATCATATGGACATGGTGCTTTTCTTAAATATTGTTGCTAACTGATCCAACTGGCTATTTAGATATCCTGTGGAACAGGGATTGTCAATCAGTCAGTGTCCTTTATTAAAGGGAGTCAAACGTTTTTTCTCCAAAGAATCCTGATAAACAACAGCATATGTGAAATGTAATGGTAGTTAATCTGTCCCAATATGATACAAGCAGATTTCTCAGCGTTACTTTCATCTTACAGAATAAATTGTTTATAAGCCTGAATCACAGAAACAAAAAAATCTGGTGAAAAGAATACAAAATGAATGACAAGCAGCCTGGGACATTAAACAGTGTCATGAATTTCAGTTGTTGCTTTTGGTGGCCAATGAAATGCCTGACCTGTTTTTTATTTTTACTTTCCAGGTGCGAATATTCCCCTACCTGATAGGGAGAGAGGCTTCCTTTGCTGATAACCTGAAATGGATGGCATGTGCGAACAAAGGTTGGTTGTTTTTTTTGTTTTTAACCCATCATATCACGTTCCAGATCACACGCTCTGACACTTCTCACACATCTGTGCGACAGTGAGAGTAAATTTCACGAAATTTCACTTTTTATTTTCGATTCTCAGCAGAATAACACTGGGACTTTAATAACATTTTATATATACAGTCACAGCCACACACTCCAGTAAGCTGCAGGAGTGGCTCAGTGTATCACCAGCTGTGTGCCATCTGCAAAAGGTAAATGCATTTTGTGTGAAAATGACTCTCTGCCGCCACCCACAATTCTGATTTCCATCATGTGGGTCTCTTTTCCTGGCTTGCGGATGGCTGTGTCTTACCTCCTCGATGCAGCTTCACATGAGAGACTCACCGCTGCTCACTCGTGACAGTGGCGGGTCATGGCAGTCACATCCCTCCGTGTTCTGGCCGGAAGGCAGCCATCATTGATGATATAGACATGTGGTGGGAGTGACTCTAAAATTAGGCCTGTGAGTAGACAATGCCTGATAAGCTGGCGAGGTGGGGGGTGTCCGTCATCGGGGACGGATTACAGCAGCCCCATTCAGTGACTGGAGCTTGACAACGTGTGCTGACAGGGTCCTGGAGTTACACTTAGAAGTGCTGTTTCCACACTGATATACTGTGGCCTGTAATGTTTGCGGCACTGGTGCCATTCCGTCGTGGGGCCACTAGCTCTGTATGAATAAATGAGCAGATTAACTATGTAAATGAAAACAGATTTATGACCGATCTTTGGCGTGACGAGTAGTGGGCGTCTGATAGCACACGACTGATAAGACGAGGTATCGGCATTGTGTTCAGGTGCTGTGGAGATGTACAACAGACAGAGGTGGAAAGTTTAGGTTCAGAAAGTACAAATCCAGGCCTAGATTTTGTTTCAACCAGCCAATTGAGTATAGAGTCATAGTTACAGAGATCTCAAGTGGATGGTTGAAACAAAATCTTGGTCTGGACTTTTACTTTCCACCTCTTGACAACAGAAGAGAAAGACAAGAGAAAATGGGGAGAAATAATGGGAAAAATTTTTGGAGTTTATTTGGATTTGAATTTCAGCTTAGATGAGTGTGGAGTTTTTAGTTGTCCTGCAGTCCAAAGGTGAGCGTCTGTGACCCAAACTCTGTGGGCGAAGGTGTGAATGCCCCATCTTTGGACGGTGTGTCCTGCTGGCGTCGCTTCCTGCCTTTGATTTGGGGCAACCTTGCTCTGATCAGATTAGCGGTTGTGGTAATGGATGGATGTGCATTGAAAGCATGTAAATATAAAACAGTTTTAATGATAACAAGGCCCTGATGCATATTGATATTAGTTCAGCATTTTGTGTATTCTGCTGAAAGGGTTCTCCACACACCGCGCTCTCTATGTACCATGGGCTGAGTCACGGAAACAGAAGCCGGCGGTCGATGCCGTCTGGACTTGGGCCTGCGCTGTGCTGGCTGAGGATTCTGTCGTGCCAAGTTTGTCGCCTGTCAGTGTGTGGGGGTCAGGCTGAGTGGGGTGGGTGTGGCCGGGTGGGCGTCGGCGCTGGGGAGCAAGTCTGGATCCGCTGGGGAGGTCAGCGACCCCCAAATCAATTTCCCTTGCAGTGATTTTCCTCATGGATGCACAGCACTGATGGAGGCAGTTTGCCGCTTTCCAGTTGACTAGATTCTGGGCAGGAAAGTCCTTGCCAGGAAGATGGATCATGAGGAACGATCCACACTCTCTCTTCTCAGGAAGCTTCAAATGCCGCTTACATCTCCCTCTGTAGCCTTGGGGGAAAAGTCAAATTCATGTAAATGCTCTTTAAAAACAGAAATGAAACAATCTAACAAATTAATTTGGAGGAACAGGCATGGTTGTCCACTGTGTTATAATGGATATTCATATTTTTATAAAACAATTTCTTCTAAAATGTAAATCATTTATGAATGAAGCTGTTTATAGGCAGTTTCTAGGTTACGAACAAGAACCGTTCCCTAAGACGTCACATTTGTCGGCAAGTCAAAAAAATATTAATGCAGTCCGTAATAGTAATTATTTTTGTAAGGCAATAATAAGAATTACTACAAATGGTACTGTACTGTACCTCAAACCTTATCAGCGTCATAAAGTAGTGCATGTGTTCATTATTACAAACCATTGTATTTAACCCAAATGTTTTATATAATAGGCTTTATGGCAGTCCATTTGCAAGTACAAGTTGTCCATAACTTGGCCGATCTTATCCTTAGGGGCTGCCTGTATTTGGGAGTAATTCCATTCACATTAATGTATAAATGAAAGATTAGAAACACTCAGATAATTGGTCAAGAAAAATTTTGACATCTACAAAGTGTAACTCGTTACAGGGAAATAATTTTATTTAGAAATCCAACAAATAAATGGGTAAATGGGGGTGGGGGGGAGGTGTTTCATTGGGTCATTTTGAGGATTCAGAGCAGAGTCTTTGCTCTTTCAGGGATTACTCCAGGCAGATGTGCTGAGCAAACTGAATAAACGCACTGTCAGTTTTACACGTTATTGTCGCTTGTCACACTGTGTCATGTCACCATATCATTGCTGCTACGTCCCAGTGTTGCAGTTACCACATATGCTGCCTTTTTTATCCACAGGATATTTCACCCAAATCTCCACTCTGGCCGATGTGCAGGAGAACGTAATGGAATATCTCCATGTTCTAAGCCGGCCCAAGGTTATCGACCAGGAGCACGACACGGTCTGGACAGAGGCTTACATGGACAACACAGTGAGTGTGCACCGGCCGTTTGCGGACATTTTCACCTAGGAAACACAAATTTAGCCCCGGGGAATGTGTCAGGCTTTCACATGCACATATTTGCCTATGAAAAACTAATATAATTATGGATAAATGTTCACATTTTATTGCATGTTCTGTACTGTCTGCAGTAGTCATTCATGGCTATAGGTTAACACTTAATTTCTCTATTTACCAAATGTGTTTAAAAAACTGTAATTTTGCCATGCCATTAAATCAACTTCGATGAGCAAAACGTTCTGGGGGAGAAGACATTTACTCACACGACAAGCGTGAATCCTGACGTGCGAAGGGAAGCACTGTCACACAGACAGCACCGCCGCGCCCCCTCCCCCCCGCTTCTTCTGCGCTCTGATTCTGTGGACCTGCTTCATGTCACTGACCTTGGGGGTCATTCGTCTGGTACATAATAAAAACCAGGAAAATTAAAATAATGTAACGTGCAATTTAACACAGTGGAGAGCATGTTTATCACATGGAGCATGGCTCTAGTCTCCTATTTTGGCAGCGCTAAAACCGATCACTTGGACGTCTCCATTGTACCAGATGGAATCATTAAATTTAATACCCCCCCAGCTCTTATGAGCAGTGTTTGCTGCACGTAAAACATACTGTGCAGTTTCCCGTTTTCACCCCTGGCCATCAGCGCTCTGGCACAGCTTCTGCCCCTGGCCCCCCCGTTGTCTCCCTGATAAGATTTTTAACCACGTGTCACAGGGACAGAGGGGGCACCCATGCATACCCCCTTACCTAATGGGACACATTAAACCATTTAAGTGACTCAGAGTGTGCAAAGACATGCTACAGCTATGCTGTCACTTGTGTAGGTTGTGTTTAGGGTTGTTCACTGTAGCCTAGGCAATGTAAACATTCATTGTACATCTGACTTACGTTATAATGCACTTACACTGAAACTTCTTTGGAGCTCTGAGAAGAAAGCAGACTACCTTATGTTAGATGTAAAGAATAATCATCACTGAAATGGTGCATTGTGGTTTATAAACTTAGCCAAAGACCGCTTTCATGCAGAAATTGACCAAAGTGTGGATGAAGTGCACATCAAGCATGCTGCACTAGGTTTTTTTTGAGAATGAGACACCCTTGAGAACTTGTACTAAATGCATGAGCATGCATGCCAAGTGTGGGAGTGTGTAAGAGTAGATCATGTGGGATAAATGGGGTGCAGTCCTTCATTCGTGAGGGTCTGCTTTGCCCACTGCTCTTGTGCGACTGTCTGAAAGTAACATTACACACATCGGGTTTAAGCATGTCACATGCTTGCATTTGTTTTTTTGTGTGCTTTTTTTGCATTTCTGTGGTGACATTTTTCTTGGTAGAGGTACTGTGTGTTTCTGCATGGTCTTTGGCCTGGGGAATGAGTTTTACACTGTTGCACCTTGATGTGACAGAGCGTGAGTGCTCCGGATTGTACAGATCTCTCACATGGAAAACCGGGTGACTGTTCAGCTTAGGATCATTTCGGTTTGTTTTATTTTGCTTCTATTCCTTTCCAATCAGTTCCCAAAGGAGAAGTTTCTTTATTTTGTACACATATGGTTTTTGTTGTTCAAACCTAAAACACGGTGACTTGGATTTTTGGGAGAGTGCTCTAAATGTAACCGTTAGGAGGTTTCTAGCGTATGTTTGTATGCTGAGGTGAGGCGTTCTGGTTATCTGGCAACCTTCACTTTCAGCACAGTACCTTAACCTGGGTGATAGCTGATGGTTGCCACACTGTTCACTACTGAACTCCCCTCCAGTGTGGCACTCAGAATTCAAATGTAAACTAAAGAGACAGGGTTTTCCTCTGAATGCTGCCGGTCTTGAGCTGCTGCATTCCCCATATCGGCTTATTGCTGGGCTGGTCATTTCCAAAATGTTCCTTTGTACTGATAGGCTTATAATATCTCCCAGGCTTCATTGTCTGACCCATGCAGTATTATCTTGCACACCCAAAGCTTTTCTCAGGTGGTTTCTGGGGTGTAGGAGCCAGGGGAGACTGGGGAGGGGGGCATGAACTCCCAATATTTAATTAGGAGTTATTCACCCCCCCCGATAAATAGACCTTTGTATTTAAATCATTAAGTTGTGCCCCCCAATACACCTTTGGGTGGTTTAATAATATTATTAGGTAAGGCAGTGAAATATTATTGCCCCATTGCTACAAATGTATACATTAATCCAGTTATTTTTGTTAAACATGTCATTCAGTATATTTAGTTCGATTTCCAGTGTCAAGGCTTTGCAATCAGTGGCTAATGGGGTTCATGCTTATCTCTTGGTTGTGGTATAACTGGTCCTTTTCCAGATCTGACTAAAAACCTAGGACACTGCATCCATTCTTCTGAGAGTAGAAGAGTGTACCATCCAACCTGAAAGCCACTCGGCTGCAGTGCTTTCCCAAATTTAGCGGCATTTATCTTCCATTACTATAAAAACACTTCTGCTGAAATTGGACCTGTAGGCGCGTCTTTGTTCTGAACCTCATTCAGCGTATTGGCTTTTGATTGTACCTATGGCTACGCATGTTCAGCCTTTTCTTTTCTACCTTCATTTTCCTTTTCAATAGGTTTGTATTCTGGAACTGCCTGCATCTGTGCACACAGCAGTACTATATAGCACAGAATAAAAACAATCATAACATAATGTCAGGGATGTAGACTGGAAACATCTTGTTTCAAAAATCCCTTCAGAACACTCCATTCATTTGGGCCTGCTGTATTTCAACTTACATTGTTTGGAATATAATGGAAGGTTTTTGCTACTTACATCTACATGTTGAGTCAATTTCTTTTTTGTACCTGTTTTACTGTCTTTGAATAAATAAAAGAAATTGAATTTGAATGAAAGCAACAAAATAAAGCTTCACCCACCAAGTATAATTTGCTTTAGGGCAAGCCGATATCGTTAAAACCAGTTCCATGCAACATTTGTTTTTTCGTATTAAGCCAGAAGGAAATGTATTCAAGGCTGCGTTATTTCAAACAACTCCTGCTCTTTGTTCTTTTTGTCTGGCTCTGTGCTGCAGTTAAGTCGAAGCCAGTTTGTTTGGAATTAAACTAATCAAATCACTGTGACCCACAACGTGGAGTCTCTCAGAAGGATGATTATGCAGGAAAAACGTGTTTGTACAGAAACAGTCAGATTGTGTATCTATAAAGAGGGAAGCATGTTTTCAGAACGGTTTCCGTTAGCATCTTCTTCCAACCACATCACTTCCCATAAATATGTGTTGATTAAAGGGTGAACTATGTAAAAGTGAGACACTTTTTGGCAAAAGATTTAGAAAAATCTGACAAAAGCCATTCGCTCAAACTAATATTTTTTTTCTATTAGCTTTTTTTTGTCCCCTTCAAAGGTTTTGTGTGGATTTTTAAACAATATATGTAATTTTTAACAGTTTAATAGGATAAAACATAGAGAGGCACCTCTCATTTCTTGATGAACTTGTTCAGGTAAAGTGGGACAGCTCTTCTACAAAATTGGGACAGTGTTTCTTTGTAAACAGACCATACATTAATTTATTGTAACAAGACTTTAGATAAGTAAGTGTTTTCTTTTTGACTTCATGAGTATCTTCAGATCTCCATGAAACTTTCATTGGTATATTTTAGCTACCTTTGGCCGGGGGAGAGGTCCCATCGTATTTTTGGCCAATCGCAATCAACCAGTTTGCCACCAATGAAATAAAGCGTTATCCTTTTATTGTAACGTGATCTACCTAGAAACACTGGTCGATCGTGATCGGCAAGTTGGGCACCCCCGATCTACATTATGTTATTGCTTTTTTTTCTAACAATTTCCAACCCTCTTTTACTAAAATACAACATTTTAAACAATATACCCCATTATATGCTTCAAGCAGCCTTACAGTATCTTTCGAAAGTTATTTTGTCTGTTGGTCCATTTGCTGTGAGGTTGCGCTACGCGGCGTGTCTTGAAATTCTGAACACAGCCATCATAAACACATCACACCAATGAAAACAGTTCATTGTTGTAGAGTGATCTTGCCACTGTTTGTTTTCATTAGTTGTTGATTTTTTAAATAGCATAGGTTCAAAGCTTAAATGTCCCACTTTACCCGATTTCCCAGTTTTGCTGAACTCACCCTGTTAAATAATTTTATTTTGCATTTGCATGTAATTTGCTGGACAAATATATTTTGTTATGCATATGCTGAGGCGTGTTGTAGTTCACCTCCTAATGTGTGGCCTCTATTGGGTGCAGAGTGTACAGCAGATAATAAGCTACTGAAATAACCAGCATGTTCCGGATGGTCAGCATGTTGTAACCAATAAGAAATTAAATGGGTCTTTTAGTTTCCTCTTCTGCTCCCAAAGTGCATGCACTTGCGTGTTTTTCCAAATTGATTCATTGTAATGACATGTTTTTTTTCTAACACGCAGTAACTTAACTTACCATATTCGTGTCACAATTTAATTATTTTAAAATTGTATAATTATTATGCCATCCACCATTTATAATAGATGTTCTGTTGCTGTGATGTCACTGCAGTTCACATGGTGTTAAAATCCATATCTAAGGGTGCTTTTGGCAGACGTGGTTCTCCAGACATGGGCTTTCTTCTTGAATCCTTGTAATAGAAATGCTACATGCTATTTGCAGAATTACCTGCAATCTGTTTAGTACCATAGATCCCCATCTAACTGGACATATGCTTAGTGAGAGAGGTATTGAACAACAAATACAAAGATCAACAAGGCCGACAGAAGTCTTTTTAAATGTTTTTCATTGTGCTTATTGTTTGTAACTCTCTTTTTTGTTCTGTAGCTTCCTCAGGCCCAAAAGGTAACCTGTTTACTCCAGTCTTCCACCATGCTGTTGTTTGTCCATGCGTCCTAAAGTCAGTGAATTGAATTCTAACATGCTGGCCATTGTCCTTGTGTGATCAGCCTTCCTTTGGTTTCCGTGTCAGTGTCTCGGCTTAGTCTGGTCTTTCCACTCACACATGTGCATTTGTGATGGAGCTTCCCCACGTCTCCTCATGTTCACCCCCCCCCCACTACTTTCACCGTCAGTGCCGTCGATCCGCTGCCTCTTCCCAGCTCTGTGCCGGCTCCTCTTGCCAGTCCTCTGAACCTCTTGCGGGCCCAATGCTCAGGTGCAGCGCAGTTTCATTCCGAGGGGAAATCTGCGCTGTCGCTGCTACCCAACAACAAAACTTGTCAACAACCACATGTCGGCGCCACCTATCAAAGCCTTATTTTCTTTGACTATTGAAGTATCAAACCTCTACTGCATTTTCACAGCGGATTTTACAGAGTTGCTGGGGCATTTCTTTGTGAAATGGCACAAAACATTCAGCTCAGGCAGGATAGAAACCAGAAATCCAAGAAAGCCAGAGTGAAACTTCAAACTTCAAAATCATTGGATATTTAAATTGTGCCAGTCGTTTGGTAATCTCAGATCTTTCTGCTTTCAAAAAGCCCACAAATGTTTTAGGATGTGTTATGTGCAATTGGAATTCTCCCTGTATATGGCATCATGGTTAGTGTTTCTAATATATTTACAGTGGTACCTCAGTTCTTGAACTCATTATAAAAAAAGTCGAACCAACCAGTTCGAAAAAAAATACCTAGAACTCGATCTGAATCTCAGAAGTCGAACCGTGAATGCCGATCTAAGATAACTTGTACTCCCAGGGAAATGAGTCACGCGGCACGTCTCTCAGCGGAAACAAAAGGTAACGCTTCAGTCTCAGCCTCGCATTCGCTGTGATAGGATCGTGCATGTTTACACTAGCTGAATACAATGGTACCTCGGTTCTCGAACGATAAGTCAAATTTCTTGAAAGTCGAACAAACCAGTTTGACCTAGAACTCGATCTGAATATCAGAAGTCGAACCGTGAACGCTGACCTAATATAAATTGTACGTGCCAGTAAATGAGTCTTACTACAATGCAATTCTTACTTGAATGCCTTCTTCACAGACTGGATGATTAACCAAACAAACTGAAATGCAGACTAAATAGACAGGACTAATGACAACAACCAGAAACAGCTGATCACGCGGGGATTCCACACGGGATTAACGAGGGGGCGTTTTAACTTTACACATTTTTTGGATACATTTATTTTCTTACTTTACAAATTACTGTTTTGATAAACGTGCTTAGATGTATTTAGCACAATATATGCTCTTCTTGTTTTATCCTGTTCATTTTGTGTTTAAATGCTAAAAAAAAAAAAAAAAAAAAAGAAACATATGTAGATGTAATTTTTTGGGGCCGGGAACCAATTAATTATTTCTTATAGGGAAAAATTTGATCAGAACTCGAACTTTTTAGGATTCGAACCCAAGTTCTGAACGGATTAAGTTTGAGTTCTGAGGTACCACTGTATTATATTTGGGAAAGAAATCTGCTAAATCACTTAATGCCGACAATAATAACAAACCAGACTGTATTTATGGAGAAGGCATCAGCTAGCAATGCATTATTTCCCAGGCAAGCATAACTGTAGACATCTGCATCACCATATGTTCAGAATTCTTCTTCGGAAACATCTATTGGATAATCACACAATTGTCAGTTGAAGGGATTGGTTTCATCTTTGCCCTACAATTGTTTGTGTTGTCAGCATTTGTGCACTTAACCAAATGCATCCAAATAATGCCTTTAAGACTTAAAGACATACAGTTAGTTTTTTTGTCTTTCACTCATTCAGTCATGTTCAGAGAGACAGCACCATTTTGGCAATAATTACTAATTACAGAGAGTCGTCCGCTGCCCATATTTGTGTTTTTTCTGTCTCTCCTGTAAGTTATCGGTTGGCTGAAAGGTAAAGGGTGTCCATGTCGTATGGAAATACACGCAACAAATGCATCACCGGCTGCATCTCTCTGGAGGCGGTGCGGAAAAGCCAATCGTCACAGCCAGCCGCCTGCCGCGCCTCTTCCTGTTATCCTTGACTTCCTCCTAGTGCAGCTCGTCCTTTAAACCCCCACGCCTCAGTATTTCAGGCCGCTGAGCTGCACTCTTCATCATCCTCTGCCTCATCAGGTTCTGTTTTCTAAGGTGCACAGCGCATTGACATTGCGGGAAGGGGGGGTGGGGAGGAGCCAAAAATACTGCCAAGGCGTGGGCCTGCCTCTGCCGTGCCGCTCCTCCTGCCCGAGCTGCAGACAGACTGGCGTGCGCGGTTATTTTTAGCCCGGCTGCTGGTTTCCTCATCAGAGCGTGCGCCCTCTCCGTCTCATCATCGTTGCACCTGATCACCCGGAAATCTGTCGGGGGGGGGGTACATGGCCCGGCCCTCTGCCTTGCCATCCTATTTATCTTCACATCACAAATCCGCGCGTCTTCACAGGAGCGACGTGACCCGCTGAGCCGTACACGCTGACCCAGCCATGATCCCTGGTCTCCCCAAGCCGGGGCTGCGTTTCCAGCTTAGCGGCACCGGCGCGGGGATTCACCCGCCTGTTTCCGTGGAGGTGACCGGCAGCGAACTGAGCCTTGGCAGCAGACATGCCCGCAGAGGGGAAAACTGACCTACTTCCTGTCTGTTGTCGCTTGGAAAAGACTCATTTTTTCCATTAATACCTACACAAATGTGTGTAGTAAAATGAGCAAAAATAATAACCCTTTTATTCACTCACAGTTATTTTAAGTCCGTGTAGCTTGTAGCTAATAAAAGCACGAAATATTATGATTGGCCCACTTTGGTGAAGTCTGCCTTTACATATGTGATGCGGTGCTTCACCACTACCTCCGGACTCCCTTTTATGTGCCAGTTGCTGGTTGCAGTGAGCTGGATTACCCCAAAATGGTCAGTTTGCTCTAATAACCCAGCTGCCTGGGCTCTTTGATGATTTTCCCTTTGTTCTTGAAATTCCTCATTTGTCTGAGAAAAAAAACTGTGTTTTCCTCCATTTTCTTCCCTGCCCATGCTATTGATGACATAATGACCCTTCGTGTGTGCGGTATTGACTCAGGCCGGCCGTCTTCCCTTCTCTGTGCCTTTGTCTTGCTTGCTCCGAAGTGTGTCCCCAGAGAAAAGAGCTCTTGAGAGAGAGCTGTTTGTAAACTGAGCGGGGAGACATCTCTCTCCAAATCGGCTTCCCCCACACCCCCAAAAAGAGCTCAGAGCAAAGCTGATGAGGGACAACAGAACTTCTGTGGAGGTTCCACTTCTGGGTGCCTCTCCGGAGGTCACACTGACGCACCATTCATCACACCACCCTGATTTTGTCTAAAATGGCAGCTGTATATGAAGATTTTGTTCACATGTTGTGTGCTTATCTGATGCTCTCAGCTGTATGAGCCTTTCATTGTGGATCCCACATGTATTTGTATTTGTTTGTTTATTTAATTGTTAGATATTTCCTCACACTAGTTGCACCACTCCTGTAGAAAACTGTGCTTTCATTGGGTACGGGGGCTGTGTATGATTTCCCCCATGTTAGTCTGTGACGGGGCATATCGATTGAAAGTGCACAGGGGGTGGGGGGCCGTTAATGCGGCTGAAAGGGGAGCCAGGCAGTGACGTGTGCGGGTAATGCGACACTGCCGCCGCTGATGGCCATTTCCTAATCATGCAAACACGCCATCGCCATCTGGAGCCAGGAGACCAGTGCAAAGCCATTTTCATCCAATGAAGCCTCATGCATGCATTATTAAACAGCTTGTCTTCTAATTGCTCTTCAGCTTGGAGAGAGCCAAGGTCCGGTGCTGATGACCACTGTAGCAATGCCAGTATTCAGCACTAAAAACCAAACGGTGAGTATCGAGTCGCAGGTGCAGGGACATGAGACCAATGGAACATCTCTGAGCTGGGCTCTCCGGTGCTTTCCATGGTTGCCCTTTTTCCATCTGGGTGCCCTCTTCTTCCCTGCAGAGAAACAGGGGCATCCTTCTGGGTGTGGTGGGCACAGATGTTCCCGTCCAGGAGCTCCTGAAAACCATTCCAAAGTACAAGGTGACGCTGGGCGATAGTTTCACTGGTTCTTCAGAATTTTGAGCTTTAACTCCATGGGTCATTTTTTTTTTCTTAATTTTTCATTTTCCATTGGAAAAACCTTTTACTGCAGGGGGATAGAATAAAGGAAATTATACAGTTTATAATTCAGATCTTAATCTCCTATTGCAGAGGAAATACTGATAAGTTAATTTTGAAATATCATCAAGTAAATAAAATGGCTGTGGTGCGGAATGTATATTTGACATTTTGAAACGTATTATTTACCAAACTTCTTCGAATGACAAGGTGTAATTTGAAGTGAATGCCATGCACCTCGCTTTTGCATGAATTTAAATCGAGCTGTGCAGTGGCTGATGTTTAGGATGTCAAAATGGGGACTCTGAAAGGTGAAGGCCTTGTGTTTGATTAAAGGAGAACCAAAAAAAAAAAACAATGCAGACACTGACACCATCTTCAACCCCCCCTCCCCCCCCCCGTTTAATTATAGCTAGGTATCCATGGGTATGCCTTCGCGATCACAAACAACGGCTACATCCTGACCCACCCGGACCTGCAGCCTATGGTAACCGTTGCCATGGATTTGATTGCTTTAAATGCCAAATATAATTAGTGTTATCTGGTATAAGTAGCATAAGTAGAGGTGTCTGGATTTTGTGAATAGTATACAGAAAGGGACAGCTTCTCTGACCAGTAAGGGGGGTGTATTTTTACAAAGATGGGAGAGCTGAACAAACTATGATTGGCCCTCGGGCTCATTGGGGACATGCAGGGTTACTTTTGGGGGGTAAAGTGCACAGAGAAATACAGCTGCTGGCATGTTTGCAGACGAGAGCGTGTGACTGCGCAGACATGGAGTGGCCTGTATCCCGTGCTGCTGGCATATTGGTAGAGCATGTGACTGTGCAGATGTGGAGTAGGGGGCCTCATACTCACTTGTATCCCGTGTTGCTGGCATGTTGGTAGAGCGTGTGACTGCGCAGACGTGGAGCGGGGGGGGGGGGGGGTGATTCGGACTGGCGTGTGTTCCATGCCGTTTGCATGTTGGTATTGCGTGTAACTGCACTACGATACTTTCCACTGATGCTGGGCGATGGCAACCATGCTTCCGGTCTCTGTAGTGATCGTGATCGTAAACATCGTAAACATAAACCTATTATTTCTACTTATCGCCCAAGTGTGTCAGGTATCGTATTCATATTCAGATTACGATATTTTCACCTTACGGTGGGTTCAGTGGAACATAAACCACATTGTAAGTCTAAGAGCATCTGTAGTATGTACGTTTCGTTCTCTCTGTAGAGGAGCGATACTTCTCGGACCTGGGATGCGGGTTTTATGCGGATGCGGCGTGCGCAGTGTACCCGCTGGCCGGCTGCCCAGCTTGTGTCGGTGTTTACGGTGCAGCCGTCTCCCAGTGGCCCACGTCATCTCGGCACCATGCTATTACTGTGATAACTGGAGCTCTGATTGCCCTCTGGGAAACAAACAGCGCTGCAGTCAGAGCCCTGGCTAGCTGAGACGTGTTATACCATCAATTCCTTAAATAAAACTAAATGGTGACCGTGAAAACAGGAACACGCTTACATCATGGTAGGGGCCGCCGTGATAGTGACGCATCTTGTGGAAATATTATATTTCAGTGGTGCTTTGGTATAAAGTCCAGAAAGGGGGACCTGCTTTCATTTCGAGGGGCTGGTTGTTATGGCACATGAGGCTGCAAATGACAGAATCAATTTCTCAAGCTGGGGAGTTCTGCTCTTCTGCAGGCCAGTCTCTCTAGGCTCTCATCTCCCCGTGTAGCCGAGCCCCCCCAAGCAGCAGCCATTTCTGATGTCCCCAGGGAGAGAGACCCCCTCCCCCTACCAGTATGCCGACGCACCCCGCCTCTTTACCCACAGCTGTTCCATTATGTTGAGGGTGGCAGTGAGAGTCGGGGGCGGAGGGGTGGGGGGGCTGTCTTTAAATGAGCTGAGCGTTTTAAACCTCAAAGTTCCTTTGAATAAACCTGAAATCCTGTCTTTTGAATGCCAGTGATTAAGCCCATTGTAGTCTGCATTTTTCCCCCTCTTTCTTTAAGGAGGGGGGAGCACATGAGCGCAGGAATCCTTTGGAGAGAGAACACTTAATTGCAATGCAATTAGGCATCCCGAATTAGATATATTTAAAAGATAATTAAAGGTTTGAGGGGAGTTATATTCCCCAGTTTTCCATTGAAATGAATCATCTGAAGATGTTCTAGTGGAAGCATGGGCTCCTTCACGCCTTTTAGTGCTTTGTGCGGCTCGCCGAGGCACTTTGCTGCTGCCCTGCTCCATGCAGATGCGTCAAACAACAATATTTACCACTCTGCTCACTCGCTTATTAATCCATTAATTATTCCATTTTTGTGCAGATTGGTTCTGAGGCTTTTCCCACTCGAGACCCCCAGAGTCCCTTTGTGTAGGTTTAACTGTTTCCCTCGGGGATAGATAAAATTTTATCTGATCTGACTACTGCATTTGATGGTTGTTTTTGTGTGTGTGAACCACTCTTAGCAGTTTGCCACTTGTGTTCCATCCCTTTATTGTTTTAGCTGACCCTCACGGTCACGTGATCTTCCAAAGTCCTGGGCAGCCCAAGATATTGGATCTTTTTACTGAGTACCAGATAAAAAAGCAGAAATACGGACATGCATCAGTTACACTGCTGTACAATGACTGGTGTCTCCCATTCTTTCATTGATTCATTCAACTTTTATTTCATGTTTGTCTTCTGTTTCAATTCGGAAGCAGGATTTACGCACCGGTGGTCTGAATAATGCATTATTGTCAACAGACATGATATAGCAAAGCATGTATGGTAAGAGAATGACATTTGAAAGGTGACAGAGCACCTCATTTTCGGAGCTTTATGTACCTTGCAGTGTCCCTTCATGTCATGTGGTCGCAGAGAAGTTTCTGAAAAAAGTAGCTTTATATCTCAAATCAGACCAAGGGGAAAGTTCATCAGTAGCCTGTCTTCCTGAGTCCATTAATTATTCTGTTCCGGCCCATTTCCAGTATGATTAACTGTGAGCTCAGCAGGGGGGGGTTTAATGGCAGAAGGTGGATAGATGTCCTCAGCTCAGGATGGCTGTCATGGGGACAGAGCAGTGAAGGAGATGGACCGTTGGCTTTAAGTAGCTGGTGTGTGTTGGGGCCCCGCTATTCACCTCAGAAATACCCGGCTGTATAACTGGCTGCTGTATAAACATGGAAAGCTGTGAGAATAAATGTCTCTTAAATAAGGGGAGAAGTAATTGTGAAAGCCTTCAGAGAGCATCGGCCTCAGCTCTGGTCCTCATCAGGGCTCAACACATCCGCACTTTACCACTGATGTGCTCCGGAGGTGGAGCTCCTGAAATGGCACTGAAATGTCCAGCACTGATTCCAGGAACCTGGAAGACCTGTTTTCCCTGGGGGGGGTGGCTCCACCCAGGAGGCTAGCCAGTGGCCTGACATCTTCAGGGTCGGGGATTCAAATCCTGTCCCTGACTCTGCAAAGTCAAAGTCTTTATTCGTCATACTGTATGCACAGTAAGGCAGAGACATCTGGGCAATGAAATGCTTGTGGTGAGGCTGAAATGATCACACATACAATATACAGTATGTGTGCCACTGAAATGTAAATACGGAGGATGGAGAAGGTGGAGAAGGAAAACAAGCAAAATAAACTTTTAAAAATGAGATGGGATAAATATCGTGGGGAAACGTGGGTCCATTCTGAGGTGTTACCATGTGAGGTTTCCGTTAAAGCAGCTGAGGGGTTCTGGCAGGATGGCGATCCGGCAGAACCTCACAGCACCAAACAGTAACGCTACTGGAGTTCATTAGGGAAATGCAGGAGTGCTGAGCGGTGTTTGCTTTTTGGCGGAGCTCTTGCTGGCCAAATTTCATGAGGCAGAGTGTTTGACCTGGAGGACTGGAGGTGTACGGAGCTGTTCCGCTACCCCACGCGCCAGCCGCCTGGACTCCAGTCCTACCCGTGTTCCTGCTTGTGGATTTCGCATGTTTTACCCGTGTTTACCCGTGTTTGCCTAAGTTTCCCCCAGTTTCTCAAGTCTCCTTCCTCAGTCCAAATTCAGTAACAGTCAAAAGTTTGAACATCCCAAGCTGCCTGCAAAAGAGAGTGATACTGTTGCATCACATGACTTGGTCACCTGACCCAAACCCAGCAGAAATGGTTTTGGAGGAGTTTCACCAGAGAGTGAAGGACAAGCAGCCAATGAGTGCTCAGCATATATGTGGACCTGCTTAAGGACAGCTGGAAAAGCTTCTCAGGTGGCTACCCCTTGAAACTGGCATAGAGGAGACAGTAGGATCAGCCAGTCCCTGGAGCAGTTGGGGTGAAGAGAATTGCTCATGGGCTGAATGGTGGGATCACACTGCTGACCACGGGATTTGAACTGGCAACCTTCTGACTCCCAATCCACAGAGCTGCCCTGCCCAACACATTCATTTTTTTCATTTAACCGCCTTTTGGTGGTCAGTGCATAATAATTTAATAGTTTTGGTGTCTTTATAATTATTATAAAATATAGAGAATAGTACAAATAAACCTTTCTGTGGGTAGGTGTGTCCAAACTTTTGACTGGCACTGTAGTGCACTTAGGTGAATTAGCACATCCTTCTTTGGACTGGCATCTGGCTCACTGCAGCCCCCTAGTGGGTAAATGTGTATGGAGAATGAATGGATCAAACTGCATGGTTTGGTTATTTCACCTTTATTATGTGCGACTCCATAAATGATTCATTAATATCAGCAGACACACACCAGAAGATGGATATTTAGCTAGTGTGGTTGTGGCACCGTGTAAACGCGTTTATTTGTCATTGAATGTGGGTTGCATGTAGGACAAAGGGAATATAATAGGATCGGATTTGAAAGGAGAACAGACGGATTGCTCACCGACTCGCCAAATCTGTTTTTTGTTAATTAGCTTTTTTTCTTTTCTTTGAAAGAGTAGGATGGATTCTATTGAACCTCATTGTGCGATTGCACAGAACAATCCGCGTGCTCACAGTGTCCTGGAAACAGTGTGTAGCTGTCTTTCAAAACGCATTCTATCCCGGCCTGCTATTGTCCCGCTGTTCCAAGATTATCCACCAGATGGCAGAGTGTAATACAGTACCCCAGAACCAATCCTGCCCTTTTTGCAAACCTGCTGTCAACTCATAGTGCTGTTCAATGTTTTTAACGCATCATGTCATATTTTTAAAGGTACATTATTTTCTATATATATGAGAATTCAAATTTTCTGTATTCTTAGAATATAAGTTATTGCAATAGACAAAACTTTTTTCTTGCAGTATGAAGAAGGAAAAAAGAGGAAGAAACCAAACTACAGCAGTGTGGATCTCTCTGAAGTGGAGTGGGAAGATAAAGATGACATTGTATGTGTTTGAATATTTTAATATTTTTATTTTAATGAGCTGCTTTTAATTTAGATACTCATTTTTTCTGAATCATTTTCTGAGAAATGTCTCAGAAAGCCTTTAAATAACAATAAACACAGATAAGGCATTATGACTTTCTACAGCTCAAAATACTAGGAACAATTAAATGTATTAGCGATTTGCACATTGTTTCAAATGACAAACTTAAGTACAAGATGCTGTTTGCAAACACTGACAAAACTTAAGTTTGTCATTTGAAACAATGTGCAAATCGCTAATACATTTAATTGTTCCTAGTATTTTGAGCTGTAGAAAGTCATAATGCCTTATCTGTGTTTATTATGTTATTTAAAGGCTTATTATTCTAACACAATGATTCAGTTATCGCGAACAAAGATGGAGTTATTGCCCACAGACCGTGCCTTCATTCAGTCTTTGTTTTTACTTTTTATTGCCATTTCTGGTGCTGTTCTTATTTAGATTCCTTTGTGTTTTCTAGTTGCGCAATGCCATGGTTAACAGGAAGACTGGAACATTTTCTATGGACGTTACAAAGACTATAGATAAAGGGGTAGGTGCTGGTTGGGGGGGGGGGGGGGCGTTGTCACACAAATCACATAGAAACCAATGGAACTGAAAAGCAGTGCAGAACTAAAAGCACAAAGGCATAAGTATTTGGGACCGGATGGTGCAAAGGCTGATGGCTGAGAGCCAGACCATTTTAAAGGGAATGCCGCTGATGAGCTCAGTTGTTTGTTTTTAGTTGCACGTTAGCGGTGGTGCTGATGTTACGATACAGCCCATGTCCTGATTAGCGTGAATAGCGACGGCATGCTGCCGTGGGGAAGCTGGCTGCGGGGCCAGGCTGTGGGGGGTGTCGCCGGTGTGGGTGTCCTCCTTATCTCAGTGCCACACATGGTGGGAGATGAGCGGGGGGGAGGGTATTCCAGCCAAACTCCTGTCATAAGGAGCTGCGCGTCAGGCTGCTGCCATTGATGGCCAGAAAGGGCCCAAGGACACTTGTGTAGGGAGGACCCCAACATCACCGACCGACACGGCGGCTTTATCACCAGCGCACAACCACGACTGGCGCGGAGGCGCCCTTTAAATGCAGCCTGAGCTGCCAAGGCGTGCACCAGCACAAGGGAAGGAGTGTCTGGCCAAACTGTTTCCTAAAACTGATTTCCATTGAACAGGAAACGCAGGGTAGCATTGACAAATCCCACTGCCTTTCAGTCCCTTGTAACATTCGCCGAGCGGGCAGCGCCTTTACTGCACTGACGGTGAAGGGAGCTTTCATAGACATTGCTTTATATTTAATGACAAATTGAAGAAATGCAGCTGTTTCTTACTTGTGAAGTGTATATGCAAGCATCTGTTAAACAGGCTGGATTTTGTGTGAAGCCGGATTGTGTGTTTAAGGGCTCCTTTTAAGCGTATTTATAGATAACATCTTTATATGATGTTACTACTTTTGAAACGTAACTGTGTTACCACTAGAGGGTTATCCACTAGAGGGCCATGCAGTTTAGTGTTTCAGAGTAGCCGTAAGTTAAAGTCTGTGTAGGAATCTCACAGATTTAAGATGGGTGTAGGCCTCATTCAGTCTGCAAGGGAATGGAGAATTGAGGTCATCACCAGTGTAATATCGTTGTAAAGCACTATGTACCTGCTTGTGCTGACACTCCTCTGGAAAGTACTTTCTCATTCATCTTTTTTATGATTCTCTATTACTTCTCTATCCATTTTGACGGGTTGTGTTCAGCCATTGAGGGATTTCCTTTGAAAGACGGCTTTTAAGAAAAATAAATTTCCTTTTTTGCTTTATAAATGCATAGTTTTCCCGCATTTTCCTCTCCTGTTGGCTCTCCCTGTGTGGGGGATTCACTGGGATTTAGTGTGATGCTGCAGTTTGCTTCTCTGCTCTGCAGCCTATTACTCTGTGTAATTCTTCAAAGACTTAGGTGACCGTCCATAGCAGGAGAATGGATTCAGCCTCAACCCCAGTGCTGAGTGTGTGATTAACATCCCATAATGGATGTAACTACGTCGAGTGAGGAAGAGCAGCATATGATACAGGCTCATTATTGCGTTACTTCATAATGAAAAGCAAATGCTTTCTTATCTAAAATATCATTAAATGTAGCTTTCTTATTAAAAAAGCAAACAGGAGCTGTACACAGCCATGGTCGCCTAATGGTTATTGAAGTGTGCTTGTGATTGGAAGGTTATTGGTTCGAATCCCCAACCAACAAGGCACCACTGAAATACCCTTAGCTAGGTACCGCCCCTAAGCACTGATCCTCCGGCGCTAAATAATAGCTGCCCACTGCTATGTCACATATGGGTTAAATGCAGAGGACACATTTTGTTGTTGTGCCATGTATGCTGTTGTGTGTCAATAAAGATAACTAATCACTCTCACTTGTAGCAAAATATATACAGACAAATAATGTGCAGCTCCCATTTATACCATATTGGTAAACATTGTGTAGGAGTGAGTGTGGCTCACAAATACAGCTCTCGGGTCATGTCATGTTCTGGGTCTTTTTTTCAGAAACGTGTCCTTGTCTTGCACAATGATTACTACTATACCGACATCAAGGGAACTCCTTTCAGGTAGGCACCCGCGGGGCCCCTGTCACGTTTGGGGTTAGCACGTATAAACAGGCTCCTGAATCAAACAGGCTCCTGAATCAAACAGGCTCCTGAATCAAACAGGCTCCTGAATCCGACGGCTTTCATTACGAGAGTCACCCAGGCCAGACATATTGCTAAAGTCTTGCTGAATGTGAAAGCTGTTACATAATAGAGCTGATATGCATGTTGTTCTGTAATGCATATTTTACATGAACAACTCACTTCTGAAGCCTAATAGGCCCATGAGCCTGTTTTCACTCGGGTCCTTGTTTTCAGTCTAGGGGTGGCCCTCTCCAGGGGACATGGAAAATCTCTTTTCAGAGGGAATGTTTCTGTGGAAGAAGGTGGGTGCCCTCCGGTGCGTTTCCTGGCCTCTCCTGCTCATTCCCGTCCTCACGGTCTGGTACCCCCACCACCCCCCCCCACCCATGCCGTGTCCCCACGCCACCCTGCGGTTTATCCCATTCTCCATGACCTTATTCTCTTGTCTCTTCAGTGTATATTTTCAGTTGAGACTAAGCTGCAATTAGAACGGAAGCTAAATATTTGGTTAGTTGCTGTGTCTGCCAGGTATCAGTCTGTTTCCCAGCGGCTTGTGCCCCGTTTTTCCAGTGATCATGCTTTTTAATATTCATACCCTGGAACTGTGCACATCATTCAGTTTGTAATTACACACACATGGCTTGGCTCCGTGCGTGATGGCGCAGCGTGTCACGAACCATAAAAATTCCTATTCCTCATTAGATTAAGAACTCGCCCAGCGACGCGTGTGAGTGATAAGCAGGCCAAGGAGCTCTCGTTTTGTTAAGTGTTTGTAAAATGGTGGTCAGAAGCCGCCTTTGGCTTTGGGACGACTTTGTGAGCAGTTGAGATGTGCTTGTTTCTGCTCGCTTGACTTTTTCTTTTTTTATTTTTTTTACAAAGCCTCTTTTTTTCATAGCGTTTGTTGAGCAAACCACATCATGTCATTCGAACCATGGCGGTCCGCATTGGATATGATTATAAAACGATATATCAAATAAATTATTATTTGCTTTTCATTTTACGGCAGGACAGTGTGGGGGTATTTTCGAGGAAGAACGAGCCCTGTTTCTTGTCACTGTTTTTCTTCAAACCGTGGCTCAATATGCAAGTAATTACTGCTGCTCTGGTCAGCGTGCTGTGCCTGACCCTCCAAGGCCTCTCTCATTTCCCCCTTCCCTCACACAGAGCCGAGGTGACCGAGAGCCAGCCAGCCGGCTTTGCTTACACCGACGTTTCTCTGTCCAGAGGCACGGCCCTGTGCTTCTTTATTACGGCGTGAGCAGTCTGCATGGAGGCCTCTCTAATGGCGATGTCACTTCCTGTTTGTAGGGCTTCACGACCTGGAGCACCCCGATGTGGCCTTAGCAGACGAATGGTGAGAGAAGCCCAATGCGGGGAGAGAATCCAGCTGCTCTTTGCCACGTCCCAGAGGACAGAGTGCTTGCTGTCGCTGGGGAGAGCGTAGCTGGCCTGATATTATTTATAGGCTGTTTCCTCTCTTCTGTGTGGTTTTGAAATCACAGGACTTACTGCAACACGGACCTTCACCCGGAGCATCGCTACCTGTCGCAGATAGAAGCCATCAAGCTCTACCTCGGCAAACGAGACCCGCGCCTGAAGTGTGAGTTTCCTGCCTTCCCCTTCACTCTTGTTGTCTCTCACTCCTTCCACTGCATCCCCCCCCCCTTTTCCCAGCCTCTGTCGTTTCACTTTACGGTTTTATAAATGCACATCACAAAAATTTGTATTTTGTTTAGAAACTCTAAGTTTTCATTTTCATCTTTATGTTTGCTGAGCCCAGCAGCATGTTGGCTCAGTGGGGAGCACTGCTGTCGGACACCAGTATGGTTGTGGGTTTGAGTCCCCCCTCTGCTTTATGTGCGTGCTGTTATGTGGGTGCTCTCCTCATGCTCTGCTACCCAGAGGCATGTAGTTAGGCTAACTGCCATGTGTGTGCCCTGTGATGGCCTGACATCCACGCCGCACCCCACGATTGGGCCCCATGCTGCCTGGGAGAGGCTCCAGGCCCAAACCCTGATCACGATATGTGGCTAGAAGATGGATGGATGTTGCCAAAAGACATCAACTGTAACATGAGGGAGGTGAAAATTCCAGTTACCTGGAATTGATTCTTGTTGCTTAGGTGACAAAGAGCTGATTCACGAGGTCCTGTTTGACGCGGTGGTGACGGCTCCGCTTGAAGCCTACTGGACGAGTCTGGTGCTGAACAAATCAGAGTAAGGCTGCCTGAAGCGTGGGTTTCATACAGTCTCCCCTGTTAAACACAGGGCGGGAAACCTGAGAAATAGGAACAGATTACTGATTATAACTGCCTGAATGTGGGATTCTGATAATAGGGTAATTACTTCTTCATAAAGGGTAGTTATGCTAAAATATTCACATGTATAGTTTATATGTAGCATTCATGAACAACCAGGTGCTGGTTAGATTTAGGCTGGATGGATCTTTTGTGTCGTTGAAGGAACTCGGACAAAGGCGTGGAAATCGCCTACTTAGGTACCCGGGCGGGGCTGTCCAGGATCAACCTGTTTGTGGTCCCTGAGCAGCTGACTAGTCAGTAAGTACAGCTGAGGCTTGTCACAGCCCTCATTTTATTCATATTATTCTCTTTATTCTCAGACGGTCTTATCCAGTGCATTGTACAATGAACAGCACATTCATTCATTGTACAATCCTGCAGAAAGAGCAGAGCAGTTCAATTTGTACACTTAAGGACTGTGGAATACTGTTTATTTTTTCTGAGCCAGAATGCTGTGCAATACCTTCTCTGATGTTCTGTGCAAAGTTTACTGTTAAAGGAGGTTCATTATTTACTGTTACTTCCAATTAATGTCTAAATGTCTTTTTTACTTTCTAAATGTGTATGTTGTGGTACAATTGTAAACATGCAGTTTTAGAATAGAATTGTGATACTTTATCCCCACTCTCTCTCTCTCTCTCTCTATCTATCTATCTATCTATCTATCTATCTTGTCTGTCTGTCTAATTAGTATATTATGAAGTGTTCTTAAGTCATAAATACCTGGATGGAGTGATGGAGATGCTGATGCTGCTGATGAAGGTGGCATATATCCTGTGGCTTTTGCTTTCCATCACCTCTGTGTTCCTGTCTGTTTCAAGAGACTTCCTGACAGCTGAAGACAAAGAAGGAGTGTTCAACGCCGACCACTTCCCATTGTGGTATAAGCGAGCAGCAGAGCAGGTCCCGGGCACCTTCATCTACTCTCTCCCCTTCGGCGCAGGTCAGTGCGTCTCCACGGCCCAGAATGCCGGCCACTCCCCCACGCAGCCATGCTACCTTCTCATTATTGCGTAAAACACTGACGCTGTTCCTCACCGCGGTGCTGCGTGACGTTCCGCCTCAGACACGCTGCTCTGAAGCTGGCCCTGTGCTCTTCACGAGGCACTGCCTCTCTAGCCTCTTCCCTGCCTCTGCCAATAAGACCAAACTCAGCACGCAGTGTTGCTGCAAAGCATTACACGCTATTTTAGCGTCAGACATTTCTTACTATCATTTATGTATTTCCTCTGTTATTACACTTTAATTTTTTCTGACTGGTAAAATTTCATCCAATGATTGTTTTTAAATAATAGATGTTGACTGCTTTGCTTTTGCCACTGAAGTCACGTCTGGGGCAATTTTGATTTTCCCAGGTGGGGCCCTCATAGATTGTTCCGTGAAGCTCATCAGAGGGCTTTGGAAGGTCTGGGATGCATTAGTTTTCCTCCTTTTTATAATGAATGTTCTTCTCCTTGCTGAAAACCTGGACGGCATTAGATTGGCACCATCACTGTTAACCTCCTTCATCTAGGCAGGAGTCTTTAATATTCAGCCTTGTTTTCGCTGAGTCCAGTCATCACCTCCCGCTCACTCACCTGCAAGAACTGAACCCTGATGTCTTACCCCAGAAGCTGAGGGAAGCTCACTGTGTTTCAGTGAACCAGCATATCTTTCCTGTGTCTGAATTTGATTGCAAAGTGCTATTGTTGCCTAGTTAAAAAAAAAAAAGAGACCCATGAACTCCAGTCAAGCTTTCGGGTGATTTTGTCAGTAATTTAGCAGTGATGTGGAAGCATTTTGGTTGCGGGATGCTTTAGTGAGCAGCCTCGCACCTCCCAGGTAAGAGGTTCAAATCCCACCTCCACTTTGTGTGGGTGTGAGTCATGCAGTTTCTCTAAACGTCATGCAGATGTCTTTCTCTAGGTCAACGTCAGGCAGTTAAGCAGATAGGTTTCTTTATTTTACATTAGACTAGATTAATATATTATCATTATAGAGAGAACAAGTACATTGCCAATAAAATGCAGTTTGCATCTAACTGAAAAAGTAAGAATTTCATTATTAACAAAGTGCCATATTAATTTAAAGTTAAGTGCAACAATGTAGAAGAAGCCAGAAACCTGGAGGGCTTAGGGTGTGCAGTACAGGAAATATTTAAGTATGTACAGATATTTAAATATACAAAATATATACTGTATATATATATATAAATATATAAAAGTATCAGGAGCTCTACAAGATATATGACATTTTATTTGTCACAAATAGAAAACAACAGTAAATTGATGGATGAGATGGAGACTATTATAGACATACCTGTATATACAAAATACAGAATAAAGAATATTTAATTTAAACGTGTAATATTTAAATCATATTTAAATGGTTGCTCGTGTAAGTGTGCCTGTGTGCCCTTTAATAGGCTGACATCTCAGCAGGGTGTGTTCCCCTCCCCTGTGCTGCCTGGGCCAGGCTCCAGCTCCCCCATCCCATAATATACTGGACAAGCAGTTGGATAGAAGGGAATATTTTATCCTTTAAACAAAGGAGATGATAGATTGTTAGAAGTTACTAAGTGTGTTTGTATTTTACAGGGCATCACTGGGTTCCTGCTTTGACAGTTTTTTGGGGAAAATGGCTTTCGGTAAAATGTGGCATTTCTGTGTGTCGGGGAGGATTCCTTCCCAGGGACGTGGCCTTTTCATCAGATTCCCTCTACAAATGAGAACATAAGACACCAAGGATGCAGATGAGGCAGCTGCCCTTCCCATTGTTTGTTTGGCTATGATTAATAAATCCGGCATGACCCTGTTCTGTCTGCAGTCAGCCGGCCCCAAGGCCCTGGATTCTCCATGTTATTCCTAACAGGCTCCCACTCACACTCCTACCAAGTTGATGATAACAGTTAACATGGGCTTTTCTGCAGTCTCCTTAATGGGAGCCGCTGCTCATTTATTGTTAATCGTGTAATCGTCTCTTCTAACTTCTCGTTATTGTTATTAGGTATTGATTAAAATCATTGTTATATCAAGTATTTTAAAAAGTGTATTATTATATTTAACATAGTACCTAAAGGACAATGGCATCCTGTAAACTGTAAACGTGAATTTTTAAATAAAAACTGTGAAGATAGTGCCACCTTATGGCCAGAAGGAGAACTTTGGGTTAAAAACTGGCCTCGCGAATCATATTCAAACTGAATATTGATTATTTTTTTATTTGAAAATTTTTACTTGCAGTATGTTTTTCCTTCTTTGGAAAAGAGAAGATGTTGAACATTTGATGGTTTTGGGCTTGTGTCTATTTGCAGGATCTTGTGGCGCATTGTTTCCAAATGTTTAAAACAGTTTAAAATTAGAAGCGCGTAAATGAGCTTTGGGAAACATGAGCCGCTTTCATTCCCGAGTTGTTTGCCCGACGTTATTGATTCTCTACAGTTTGTCATTTTTACGTTGATTAATGTTCACTTGTTCTTCAGTAGACAGTGCTGCGCGATGAGGGTTGAAATTGGATATGTTAGGGTGGGATTCCCTGTTTATGTGGCATGACGCTCTGAAGTGAAACGCTTCATGTGCATCTATTTAAGCGTTTCTCTAGAAGCAATTTATTTGAGATCGGAAGCTTTTTATTGAAAGAATGTGGGTTCAAGAAATGCACTTCCTGCCTGTCAAATTTCACTCTAATACAAGTCTAATGAAAAAGTTTTCTTCCTGAGCAGTACAGGGTATATGATTTCTGTTACATTTAGCTTTACAGGCACAGGCTGCTATAACTGATGCACCCCCTTTAAGATGTTTTCTTTGGTCTGCATGCTGAGAGCATCGTTTCAGAGGGCTAACTTGGAGATTTTCTGTTTGTTTATTTTTCTCCCCAGGGTCTGAAAACAAAAGTGTGGTCTTAGCTAGCACTGCCATCCAGCTGTTTGATGACAGAAAGTCTCCCATCACTGCAGGTGAGTCCCAGAGATCCCTCTTCATTACACAGACATTAGTCACAAAACTCCAGGCTGCAGCATAAATGGCCATAAACAGTACGATTAGGTAATCACAACTAATCCCCCACGATCTTTCTGGCATTATAGCAGTATCGGTTTGGTGGAGCTCTCCTATTCCGCCCTCATGCATCGCTGGCCGTTCCTCAGAGCTTGATAATAGCTGTTTACCCCGGGCAGGCGTGTGTCTCCATCCTGTGCACGCCGTGTGCCAGTGCGGCTCCAGAGAGGCTGACTCCTGATCTCCTTACAAAATGCAGATGCTCTGAGGAGGCTCACGTTGCTGCTTGTAACATAAAGCAAAGTAGAAGGGGAAGCCTTGGACGTTGGTAGGTTTTCAGTGCGTGTGAATACGTCCTTTTAACATTTTCCACAGTGTTTATGCTTGGCAGCCTCCCCCACCCAAAAAATGTTTATTTTGGGAAGCAGGAAGCTCTCTGGAGCAGCTACCATTACTCCTTAGTGCATAGAGCCCCATGCGGGATAGCGCCCCCTTCTGGGCGGGAAGGGGGCTTGGGTCATTAACTGCATCGCTCTAGCGGTTTATAGCCAGGCTGTCTGACCCTGAGCTGTGACCCCGAAATACAGGCACGATATGCGGATATGTGCCTTCTGCAGTGATTTATCCTCAGAGACACTAATGAACCTACATTCCTGCGCCAGGAGTCTACCTGCAATCCCACTGTCTCTGGCCGGTTAAAAATAAAACACGGTAATCAGCCTTAGTATGAGTGACTTCTGCACAAACTCTTGTATGTTTAAGTGATCTTCAGAGTTTGTTTACTTTTATTGTCGCCAGTGTAAGTGTAAAATTAATAATAGGACTTATGTGCAATTAATGAGTAGATAGAATGGTATTAATGGGATTAGACAGAATGGTATTTTCATTATCAGTATGTTGATGAATAGCGTATCAGATATGATTCTGTTTTTTTTTTTTTTTGGGGGGGGGGGGGGGGGGGGGGGGCAGTGTCCTGACATGTTCCAAAGCCAACAAGTCAGATTGGGGGCGTGTTTATTTTTATTGCGGCATTGCAGTAACGTTGACTCAAATCATTTTCTTCTGACCAAAGAGGTGTTGGGGGGTGGGGGGGCAGCAGTGGCAGTGTAGGTCTGACGAGGGGGCAGTGCTGCTGTCTGCCTTCCCCATCAGCGGGGCAGCTTAAAGAAGCTTCTGCAAGACAGATTCATGGGAGGATCTCCCACGTCTACCTCATAAATTTCCATCTGGCCAGGATCCCTAAACATTGCAATTTGGCATTATTCACAAATCCATAATTTTTTTTTTGACTCATACATTTAACAAATGGATGTGCACCTGAAGATTTTTCTGCTGCCAAACTGGATTGCAATTAAAATACTGTTTCCTGTGAGGTCAGCTGGCGATGACTGAAGGGTGGCGTGGAGGGGAAAAGGTGGAACAGAGGTCTGAATGTATTGGTATGAAAACTGTGGGCGTGTAGGACCCAGGGGCTGCTCCCCCCGGGTGGCCCCGACTTCCAGCATTCCCTGAGTACCCATGAGCTTTAAAGGCGATATGAGCCCATGCCATTAATGACACATCCCTGCACCTCCCCATCACCTCTGCGGCTCACATACCCTTATGTCCCAGAAAATGCTGCTGGGTGCACATTTCTGTCAGCTTTATCGTTACCAGCAGGTTCCCTCTGGTGTGTCCAAGCCAAAGGATATTAGCTTGCATACACAGAGATCCATTCGCCGTGCATTTGCTGTACCGGCTCCTGAATGCTGGAAATGTTCATGTCCGAGTCTGTTTAGGGATAGTATACTGTGTGTGTGGGTATGTATCATCAGCTGTGAGATTATTCTTTAAGATTCACAGGATGTTACCCTCAAATAATTACCTTTGTTAGGCTACAGCTCAGGTAAAACAATGTTATTGACCATATCAAATTTTCATACAGCTGTTTTTTTTTCGGAAGAAAAAAATTCAAGCCTCTAGTGATCTCCGCACACGTGTCACAATCAGGCCCCCACTCAAGGGAGCTATGCGGAGGCTGCATCTTGTTAGCTTGGGGTTCATTGCAGCTCTGGGGCCGCTCTGTTGTGACTTCATTAAGTCATATCAGATAAAATCTTAATAACTATATTTCCGCCAGTTTATACATATCTGATCTGCCTGGCTGAGCCTGGTCTGGAATTAATATTCAAAACTATTAGCATCATCTGATGGCTTGGTGACATCATGTTGGGAGAATGCAGCATCTCTATGTGAAATTCTATGGATATACTGTAAAAAAAAAGCATTATGTATAGATGTTTTGTTTCCGTTAAGCGGTATCGCTTGCCGCTGTATTACAGCCAGAGGTGGAACTTTCAGATGCAGAAAGTACAAATCCAGACCTGCCAGTTCAGCATAAAGAGTCACAGAGTACTCAGCTGGTTGGTTGAAACTAAATCTTGGCCTGGATTTTTAATTGCTGGACCTGAAATTTCCAGATCTGATTATAGCTTGTGCCTAAGGTATTGCATTACATATTAAAGCAAATTTTGCATTACATATTAAAGCAAACTCTGCAGAAAAGCAGGCAAATTGCCTTTATTGTCAGAGATGATGTTCCCAGGAGTCCCCACTGTGACATACAGACAGGGATTCTCAATAAGGTGGAAGAACACAGTGTGCAAGACAAAGGAGCTGGACCTGACAGGTTTATTTGTTATGGATTATCACTCCCAGGGTGGTGTGGGGATGGAACAGCTCTCTGTGAGCGCGCTCAGTGGCGTGTGAGCCCCTGTCATACTGTCGTTTCTGCCGCTGGTCAGCCTAGAGCTCACTGTGTCCCAGCCTCCCAGGCCGCAGGTTGGGCTGGGCCTTCATCTATCTGGCACCGATGAGTGTAACACATCTGCACAGGTTTGCGTTCTCCTTTCAGAACACAGGACACGCTCCCGGTCCCTGTGGGAACGTTCACGCTAGCTAACACGAGTGATGGCTTCAGGTAGCCTGAGACTAGAAAAAGGTTGAATAGGAGCAGAATAGGAGCCTTTTCCCCCTGTTATTCCCATCACTTTAGTTATTTTGTTACCGATATTATTTGCCGAGTTAAACAAAATGCTTTATGTGTGTTGAACCAGCATGACTTTCTGAATTAATAAATAATGCTATAAAGTGAGTTTGCCTTGATGTGCAATTATGTAGCAGATTACAGCATATTGTTCACTTGATGGATGATATGATTGGACTGTGAAGCTTCTTAGGAAAAATCATCCTGCCGCAGGGAGACCCATAATTACAGATTTAGGAGCTTTTTGTTTCTGACCAGACAAGGTGGAGGCAACTTCTTTTGCTGCACAATCAGTAAAATAAGTATCTCTCTGGTTTTGGTTGCCTGTCTGTTTCCAGCTGAATATCCTACTAAACAGATGTACACACTGTAATTTGTGAAACATGAAAGAATTCTGATTTACGCGTATTATGGTCATTTGCGGCAGTGGAACATGTCTGTGAAATGCTGGAATCTGGACATGCTGTATGTACAGCTGTATGGATCAGATCGTGGTTTATATACATATATGTACACATACACACACACACCCGCCATATGTTTACCCATATCTAACAATCAGTCATATATCTTAATGTATTAATCAAGACCACATGGCAAAAGCACAAACTGCTGTAGCAACAGAACAACTGTTCATTTTATCTATACAATCTCAGAGACAAATACTTAGTTGCAGGAAAGGTTTTGCCTCTACACAGAAGTGGTGGACAAATTGATGCTTTGTGAACCATTTGCTGTATTTTATGACGCCACTAGATGGTGAACTCTTCAAAAAAATGGCAAAAAGCCTGTCCAAAATCAAATAAAAAATACAACGAATAGTTCACAAAACATCGTTTTGTCCATCACTACTACATAGATGCAGAGCATGCATGTGCATGTGCTGCAGATAGAGTAGAGTCCCGTCGGAGCTCCTTGCCTTCCCCACTGCTCTGCCTGCTAGACGGGGCCACCCTCTCGGCCTGCCTCAGATCCCGCTGGTAGCGGGCCGTAACGGCCGCGTAGGTGCATCCGTAGACGGCAGCGCCCAGCATCATGAGGCACACCAGTCCGCACACCACACCTGTGATGGCCACAGTGGCGATGGCATGCCGCAGGTTGGGGGGGCGTGCCCGCTGCTTGGCCCCACACCCAGAGTCGCCGCCCCTGTTGCCGCTGGAATATGGTGACTCGTGCTCTGTGGCCTGGTGGTGAAGGTGAGCGAGCGGGTGTCTTTGGCTAATGTTCAGGCAGGAGCCAAACAGCTTATACGGAATGTTCCGGAGGTCCTCTTCCCTCAGGTCTCCAGGCTGTGCGCACCTGATTTCATCCATTATTCCTCCTGTAGGCAGTGGGAAAAAAAAGGGAAATACATCATCTTTATAGGGGTTATTATTCAGAAAGACTGTCAGTGCACATCCACAGTCAGTGAAGCCAGTGGCATTGCTGTTTGCCCAGCTTTCAGAACAACAGCAGCGGAGGCTGAAACGACTGTTCATAATCACTCATTAACATCACTCCTGACAACACCATTGTGCACTGTTTGACCAGGTAATTACACTCTTCATTATCCTGCCTCACCTGATGACAGTTAAAGAATGTTCTTTTGTGTGGGAATGGCAATTAATGAGAACACAATGGACCATTAGACACCTGCAATTCCCCAGCAATGAAATCTTCAAAAGCAGGTTGAGATGATGACTCAACTTTGTTGAGCTGCTAAATAACCTAAAGATTTTTTTTATAACTTTTTCCCCTGAAGAGTTCAGCTGTGCCTGCTGTACTTCAGCTGCAGTCCTGCATACTATATTCCACTCTAATGTCGATGTCACAATTGTATAAGATGTTGAATTGAAAGTGTTCAATATTGAATCTGAATTTAGCATAATACATGCTCTCACATCTGTGTTCCCTAGCACCTCTGGGACCAGGGTTCGAGCTTTCGCCATGGCGCCACGTGTGTGGAGTTTGCATGTTCTTCCCGTGTCGTCGTGGGGTTTCCTCCAGTTACTCTGGTTTCCCCCCACAGTCCAAAAATATGCTAGGGTTAACTGGAGATACAAAATTTCCCAAAGCTGTGCATGTATGAGTGACTGGTGTGTGAGTGACTGGTGTGTGAGTGTGTCCTGTGATGGGTTGGTGCCCCATCCTGGGTTGTTCCCTGCCTTGCACCCATAGCCTCCTGGATAGGCTCTGGACCCCCCATCATTCTGAATAGGACAGGCGGTTACAGAAGATGGGTGGATGTTCTCATGTTAGCTGAAGGTTGTTTTCCAAAATGGGAGTTTAGCTGAATTTCAGGTTCATTATGAGTTTATGTTTGACGATTGCGGGAAATTATTTAATGATTGTTGACAATAATTTGAATTTATCCAGATTTTTTAATATCGGTGCTCTGACCACCATGCATTTAGAAACAGTTATAAAATGTCAGCCGACAGGAGCAGCTGTCTTTACAGGTCAGAAGCGTTAGTCAGCTGGCAAAAATAACCTTCCAGGTTACCCCTCCCATTCTTGGCATGTGAGTGATAATTAAATGCCAGCTATAATCCAAAATATGATTTAGTGACGAGCTTAGTGGGCGGACGTGTTCATTCGGCAGTTCATAATTTATAAAAAAATTGATTCTATGTTTGTAGACTGTCCATCCATCCATCTGTCAATCTATCAGTCATCTCAGAAGTGCTCTGTAACTAAGCAGGAAGCAGACACAGTCTTAACTATGGAAATGTTGAGGCAATAATAAGAACAGCATGTGTTTGGATTGTGGAGGGAAACCTGAGGTTCCCAAGAACAGCCGTATGGACATAGTGAGAACATGCATGTGCTCTGAGTGCCAGCACTGTCTGGTGGCTTAGCCACAATGGTACCTCTCTGTAGACCTGTAGGGTACTGTGGCCTTGGTTTGTTCTTTACCTTTGAAGAGAAAGGTCTCCAGCCAAAGCTTCAGGCTGATGAGCTGGCAGTCGCACTTCCAAGGATTGCCGTGAAGGGAAAGTATCTGCAATTTGGTCAGGGACTCCAGCAGCATCCAGTGCAGCTTCTGCAGCCGGTTGTGACGCAGAGAGAGCCTAGTGAGGTTGTGCATGCTGTCAGGCAGGGTGGCCGGGAGCCTGCTAATGCTGTTGTGGGACAGATTGAGATCAGAGAGGCTCCTGATAGGCCTGAAAAGATGCCGGTCGATATCCTGGATGGAGTTGTTGGCCAGGTTGAGAACCAGCAGGCCTCGGAGACCCTGGAAGGTATTAGTGGAGATGGTGGTGATGGAGTTGTTGGCCAGGTTGAGCACGCGGAGCAGCGGTGTCTCCCTGAAGGCCGTGGAGCCCAGAATGCGGATGCGATTGTGCTCCAGATATAGTTCCAGCGTGTTAAGTTGCAGCTGGCGTGGGATATCTCGCAGACCACGGCCTCGGCACTCCACCACTTTAATCTTTGGATAGCACGTGCACGCCGTGGGGCATCCGCTGGCGATCTGGATCGCCAGCATCGCTGACAGCGTCCAGATGATGTGACCTGCTCAAATGGTTGCATCATCAATGTGTGTGGTCATTTCAGGTGGCACTAATTGTCATTGTTATGGTTGGGATACTTATTAGTTTATTTTTTAAATTTCGCACAAATATTCTTGCAAGTCAGGATGTTTTTGGGCAATGCTGCCGCTTTTTTATACCTCAAAGGAAATCAAGTTTTTAAAAAAATAAACGTCTTGCTCTGAAATAAAAAAATGATGATCATCAAATGTTGGATTGCCTTTTGATTATTGACAATATACTAATGTTTGCCAATATTTTATTACTTGGCATTGAGAGTTGGCAATATTTAACTTGGAATTTGATTATATCAGTCATTTAATAAAACCTCTTAATGTAAACAACACATGGTTTTAAGACAAACTGATTTTCTTTGACAAAAAGTTGACAAAATCCACTATTAGAAGCTTCAGATGATTATATAGGTATGTTCCTGTAGTTCCAAGTATTTAACAGCCCTTTGAACCCATTGTACTTGTTATGATCTTTGGAGAATCATGCCTTCGATTAGGATGTTCTTGCAAGTTTACGCACAGTAGCTCTTGTGGTTTTCAAATTACAAAGAGAATAGGTCTTCTCAGGATTAACAGACAACACTATGTTCAAGGGAAGTCTGGTAATTATTGTACCATTCCCATTAGAGTAATTCTTTTCTAACATAGATGGCCTATTTATTCTCTTTTTTTGCTCTCTATGGTGTATTTTGGCCCCAAGCTAAGAGTTACATGTGATTATAGTGGCTGTTACCATATTGCCTCATCTAGCCCGCGCAGCTGCCCAGAGTTCTTGGCTGCATTAAAGGCTAAAGTTTCAGCTTGCAGATGCTTTCATCCTCAACGACAGCTAGCTAAGCTAGTAAGCTACAAAGATCACTTCGTCTTCATGTTTAACGACAGCTAGGTAAGCTAGCAAGTTATCTTATACAAAGATCACTTTGTTATCATGTTTAACAACAGTTAGCTAAGCTAGCAAGTGCTCATATACTAAGATCAAGTCATTTTCATCAACATGGATTTCGATATTCCATTTTGTATCCTCTTTCTCCTCACATATATGCATATGCACGTCATATAAAGCTGTCCTGGTAGGAAATGGTTGTGCTCAACATTATCCTGAAGGAATGATTATAAAGTTATGTGGTTGAGTCACAAACAATGCACAGTTGTTTTGAACATTTTGAGAGGGTAAAATAGAAATAATGTCAATTACATAGCGCCAAAAGCTCAGTGTACTTTCGTAAAGCATTGTATCCCCGATTGTTTGGTTTTTATGCAAGCTAGGGTTTGGCTTTGATGAACAAATGAAAACAGGTTTGTGATCATTAAATCTGCAAGATTTATACAGGATTGGAAATGGTCCAACTTAACAGAAAAACAGCGTTGAAAGAAGAATTTTAAGAATACTGAAACACACATGAAGGGTTAAGAAAGAACGCTTATAATAGAGTCAGTAAAAGAACTGTTTTATTGTGGTTAATTGTGAATTAGCTTTTGTTGATATCCCTAGGCACATTGTTAAAATGAATACCCAAGGTCAGATGCTTGTATTTGATCCATTAGATTATTTGCCTGTGTGTCATGGTTACAAAATCATCACTGAAGAGTGCTGTTGGTTTTGAGTGCTGGTTGGATTCAGCTTGTAGCCTTTGTGATGTGAATGTCTGTTGTTGTTAGTTTGTGAACCCTGCCTTGGACATCGTTTGTCTGTGGTTTTGCCAATAGCATTTTCGTGATTGTTGCCACAGGCATCGCAACTGCTCCCTTCTGGGTCCTGCTTTCATTTGTTTATGACCTCATGGCTTTGCCAGGACCAATTAGCTGTCAGCTTGGAGCTCGCCACGTTTGATGAAACGCGAAGATCGGGTTAATGAGAAGCCCCGAAAGTTACACTAGCTCCAGAGCTCACTTCCTGACTGTGACCTCAGCTGCTTCCAGTGAAAACATCTGCTAAGTGGGATTGTTAAAGTAACGAATGGGGTGAGCGAGAGGCTAGGTGATATTTAATATGGACTTCATGCTGAAATCGTTTCAGCTGTTTGGTGTTTCACCATTGGCTAATGATTGTGGGAAGTGCACCGGTGTTTTGAGGCTGAATGAGAAAGAAAATACAAATCATTCTAAGTGAAATATCTACCGTGAGACCCCTTCCATGAAAACCATGTGCCTTTACGTCATACTGCATCATTACATGATAATACATCTGATCGCTATGGCGCAATAGAGGGACATGAAGTAGTAATTCTGCCACTTCTGCTCCTACAAACAGTAATGAAAGAGTGCATGGGTATGTCGGCTTACCGCAGCTCAGGGTTGGTTTGGCCAGAAGTTCCCTGGTCCTACCTGCCATCTCTTGTAGCTGGTGGTCCTTCTTCAGAAATCAGATCTCTTGACTTATTGTTGCGTATGAAGCGTGCACCGGTTGGCCAATAGGAAACGGGAAATTCTCCACGCTGGCTTTGTGAGGTCAAAGTGTCCCCCAGTTATAGTCGGCCTCTCGCGAGTCATGAGGCTGGCATTCGTGGTGACCTGGCTGGAGCCTGTGACTTAAGTGTCAGGCTGAGTGTGTCCCGTGCCAGCCTGGCTGTGATTGGAATCACAGGGCTTTGCTCTCATTCTGTCTCCCTCTCTCCCATTCACTCACTCCCTCGCTCTCTCGCCTTGCCTCTCCCCGTTCCTGCCCAGTGGACCGTACAGTATCACTCTGTGTCTCTCAGATCTCAGTCTAGCAGCCCAGGCTGCTCTCTTTTTATTATTTTGCCACCCTCTGGGCCGCCTGAAGTTTGCGAGGCAAAATTAAAATCTCAGCAGGTTCCGTCGCAGCCTGGTGTGGCCCAGTGACATCATCGGCGTGGCCAGTGGCGGAGGCCTGGAGCGGCGTGACTTCGGCAGGGCCGCTCTTCGGCGCCCCCCGCTGGATCTCCACATGCTACCGGTGACAGTAGCTCAGTGCTTGCGGTGAAGCGCTTAGCAGCTCCTTGCGGGCCATCATGCCCAGATAAACTGCAGTGTACATGCTACCAGCCATGCCGTCTGCGGTGCTGTTCTGGAACACCTGGAACAGGTTCTGCTGCTGGGTTTGTCAATCCCTTCTTATGGTGCTGTTAGCGGCCCCCGCATGCAGCATCTAACGCTGTTTGGGGGAGTGCCATCCTTATGCCAAACTACAGCTGCTGTAACATACATCTGCTGGTATACTGCTGGTACTAAGTACAATATAAAGACACACACACACAATATATATAGGTAATATCAGGTATATACAGTATGTATATCAGGTAAATTTATAAGTTCAAATACATGCTTGTTTACTTTGAGTCAAAGTATTTGTAATTTGCGTGATTTATAGGTTCAGCCGTACATTGAAATGCTTTTGACGAGGCTCATGTAAACATTGTTGAAATATAGGCACACATAAAATCTTCATTTAAAAGTATAAAAGTCTAAGAAGTTAGACTTTAATACTTTTAGACAAACAATGAATGTACAGTTATTGCACATATCAAGTTGCAAAGTAAAGTCAGTGAATACTTAAAAGCAGACCTATGTTCAGTGAACAGAGGTATGTACACTGAAATGCCAAAAGTATTGAGACACCCCTCCAAATCATTGAATTCAGGTGTTCAAATCACTTTCATAGCCATTGATATATAAAATCAAGTACCTAGTGTAAGGAAAAGTAGTAAAGATGTCCCAATGTTCTTGGTTGATCATGTGAATACAGACAGTGTTAGCTGCAGACTGCTTCTACAAACACATGCGAAACAATGGGTCGCTCTCCTCAGCTCAGTGAATTCAAGCATGGTATCGTGATAGGATGCCACCTGTGCAATAAGTCCATATGTGAAATTTCCTCACTACTAAATATTCCACGGTCAACTGTTGGTGGTATTATAACAAAGTGGAAGCAATTGGGAACAACAGCAATTCAGCCATTAAGTGGTAGAACGTGTGAAATCATAGAGTGAGGGGCAATGCTTCCTGAGGTGCACAATGTGCAGAAGTCTCCAACTGTGTTCAGAGTCAATAGCTACAGACCTCCAAACTTCGTGTGACCTTCAGATTACCTCAAGTGCATTCTCAACAGTGCGTAGAGAACTTCATAAAATGGGGTTCCATGGCCGAGCAGCTGCATCCAAGGCTTACATCACCAAGTGCAATGCAAAGCGTTGGATGCAGTGGTGTAAAGCACACGGCCACTGGACTGTAGAGCAGTGGAGATGTGTTCTCTGGAGTACTGAATCACGCTTAGCTATCTGGCAATCCGATGGACGAGTCTGGGTTTGGTGGTTACCAGGAGAACGGTACTTGCCTGACTGCATTGTGCCAAGTGTAAAGTTGGGTGGAGGGGGGATTATGGTGTGGGGTCCCTTAGTTCCAGTGAAAGGAACTCTTAATGCTGCAGCATTCAAAGCCATTTTGGACAATTTCATGCTCCCAACTTTGTGGGAACAGTTTGGGGATGGACCGCTCCTGTTCCAACATGACTGCGCATCAGTGCACAAAGCAAGGTCCATAAGGACATGTACTGTATGAGTGAGTCTGGTGTGGAGGAACTTGACTGGCCTGCACAGAGCCCTGACCTCAACCCGATATAACACTTTTGGGATGAGTTAGAGTGAAGACTGCGAGCCAGGCCTTCTCGTCCAACATCAGTGTCTGACCTCACAAATGCTCTCCTGGTTGAATGGTCAAAAATTCCCATAAACACACTCCTAAACCTTGTGGACAACCTTTCCAGAAGAGTTGGAGCTGTTATATAGCTGCAAAGGGTGGTGCAACTCCATATTAAAGCCTATGTATTAAGAATGAGATGTCATTAAAGTTCATGTGTGTGTAAAGGCAGGTGTCCCAATACTTTTGGCAATGAGTTATGTTATGAGGCATATTATCTACTCTGATACTTCCTCATTTTGATAGTGTTTAATTATAATGTCAGAAAGAATGTCAGGTAGCACTATATGAGGGGGCACAAATAACTTTTACGACTCAAGTACTCAAGGATAAACTAAATACATGAACCGTCATGATTAATGAAACGTCATGATTGATTAATGATGAACGGCCATGGGATCAGAAAGCAGCTAACAAGTGCTACTGTACCAATTGTTATAATATCACGAGATCCACTGATGGAGCTGGAACCTGGCAGCATAGAACAGCACAGAACACACGTGTACTGTAAGAGGGTTCACCCTGGATGGGATGCCAGTCCCTTAAAGGCCGCTCACACTGACACACATCTCCCTGTATATCGCTGGACTGCAGGCGGAACTCAAAGAACTTTCAGACAAACATTGCGGGGCTGAGATTTGTGAGGTAACAGTGCTTTGCGAAATACCACGGATTAGTTCTTTTTATTATGAAATATTTAAATGATAGTAGCTGTCGAGCATTCATGTGTCATTGTGCAAGTCCTTTGCATGTACTGTAGGTATTAGTATGAGTGTGCGGGCCAATATGGGGCAGACAGAGGAGTCCTTACACAGACCATCTACCTCTAAGGGCTTTGAGAAGGCAGCCTTTTTCCTGTAAGCTGCTGGGTTGTGACAGGTTATTGTGGGACTGCTGCACCCTCATGCTCCACAGTTCCATGACTAGCAGACCTTTTAGGTGGTTTCGCACTGCCTTGGTCACACCGGTTTTTGTATCCTTACAGTGAAACAAAGCAGGCCTCTCACATTCTTCAGCCTTCATTCATGCACCCCGTCTGCGTACTTCTGTGTTTTGGGTGTAGGCCTGTGTCATTCCTGTTCTAGTAACTTCCTGTCCATTTTACCATTCCTTGTCACGTGGTTCCGTTTGACATTGCAAGCAGAGAGATTCTCACAGGTGATTGTAGGTACTTCTGGTTTCTGCTTGCATATATCTTTGTATATTGGCCTGTGGTATGTTGAAATCTTCACTTAAAATGTTCTGGTCTTTCCATTCATTAAAAATGCTTTATTCATGCAATTGTAAATGACCCCCCAGGCCTTGGAAGAACAGCTGTTCTCTGCAAGACCATACGGTTTAATCTACCACTGAGCACTAACCCACTTCAGCTGAACTCCACTTTATCAGTTATTATGATCTGAATGCTGTGGGGTTTTCAAACATATGTTACCAAACAGTAGGAATAAAGCAAATCCTAACTGGGCTTTGAGCAGTCGTATGGTGGCGATTCTGCAGGTATTTTCTTATGGCTTTTTTTTTTGTTTTAAGATGTTTTTCACATAACACAATTTTGTTTCTTCTGTAAAATCTGGATGAAAATAATATTCGGTCCTGTTTAAAATTTAGGATAATTGGGTCTGTTGAGGCATAGATTTGTTCACATAAGACATTCATACTTTGTAACATTTTTCAGCCTATGCAGCCATATTTGTGAACATTTGTGTGTTCACACATAAGCAACAAGGAGCCTATAATTTTCCTAGCCAGGTACCTTAAGCTCAGGTCTTGAGCCAGGGAAAGATAAGCCTGCAGTTTTCCTACGTCATGACTGTGTTTACATTGGTCGATGCATATATCGTATTCTCCTAGGATCTCTATGTCTGTAAATGAGAAGCTGAAAACGAATCTTCTGTAAACATAAGCTTTTTATTGGTTCTTTAAATGCTGCTCTGTTGCTCTAAAAGTGGTCACGCCCAGCCCTTAACTAGAATGTTAAGTTATGTAATGAGCATCTCTCTGGAGGTTATATTGGGGCATAAAATGTGGCCCTTGCTTGCATTCAGGCTGCAGTTCACATGCCACGCTTCTGCTAATTTATGTCTCTGGACCTGCTGTTGAATCAAGCAACCAAATGACCGAAAAAGCTCATTTTCCTTTTTGCGTTCTGAGTACCGTATGTTTTTGATATTTTGGTGTAAACACAAAGTCTGCAATATGCTTAGTCTTAAATTATTCCATACATTCATCTTCTAACCACTTATCCTGGTCATGCCTCCATTATCTCAAATTATTACCATTCTTTTTTTGTTTTAGACTCAATTTGAATTTATAAATTATGTGAAGCCAGCTGTTGCATAAATATTATACACTATTTCATAGAATGATGGAATTTTAGGTCATAACATGTTGATAATTACTAAATGCCTGAATGTGATGTAATTCATTAGAGTGGATGTCTACTTTATACACTATATGCTGTTAGATGTAGGTTGCATGTTATAAGTACAAAGGATTTGCCTTTTCAGTTATAATTCAATTTCATTTTCAGTTTGTGTGGCCTGTTGCTGCCAGTATTTAGTTCCCAGAACACAGTAATACAACATTATGATATTAATACATTAATCTTCCAGCCACTCATCATGCTCATTGAGTTCAGCTTATTTCTTCACATTTAGAACAAATATGAACTTTTCTCACTTGGAGAACCTGGATGCCTCCATCATGTTTGATTGGGCCTGGATTAGCATGAACAAAAACTAACAATGATGATGGTTCTTGTGGTCTTACCACCTGCAAGATGAAAGGTATGGTTAGTTGCAGTGCCATTTGGGAGGCAACTATGAGTGGGAAGATCCCTGATGGATTAGACCTTGACAACGGTCACTGACTCTGGAAATGTGGAACGTTATCTCTCTCATGGGGAGGGAGCCCAAGCTAGAGTTTGGCTAAATGTTGTCATC